ACAACCAAAAGAAGAAAGAAATCCAAAAAAAAAAAAAAAAAGCTCCACAGGAGATTCTGAAACTCCAGTTCAGGCAGCTTCCCCACCTGGTGGGCAGCTCAGCAGCCCCCCTCTCCCCCGCCAGGTCAGCTGCGTCTGGACAGTTCCAGTGGTCAGCGAAGACTCCCTGGACTATCCTACTTCTGCCCCCTTGAGTCATCCAGAACAGGTCTAATCTAAGATCTGGAGACAGTGCACACCCCCTAGGTTGCCCCTCTCCTGCCCAGGCCTTCTGGGCATTTTTTTTTCTGGGTAGCCCAATGAGGAAATGAGCAGACCAGAGAGGCAGTGGCTCAGTGAGCTTGGACCAGCTGCCTCCACCCTAGCTGCCCTCTTGTGGACATTTCAGAAACATCGTTTATCCATCGGTGCTCTTCCTATGCGTGTGTGCCACGGACTGTCAATGTGTTATTAACTCGTCATCCTCCACAAGAACCCTGTGAGATAGGCGCTACTATACACATGACAAATGTTAAAGTCTCTTGGCTCGGGACCAGCAGATGGCGTAGTGGTCACATCAGTGGAATCCCACCTAGTCTACCAACGGTGGTTTGAGTCCCAGACCTGGTGACTTAAATCTAAAGGGGGTGGGGAGCAGGTGCCATGGTGGTTAGGGGCATTGGACTCCCACATGACTGACTGCAGTTTGAGTCCTGGACCTGGTGGCTTGCTTTCTCACTTTCTCTCTTGCTCTCACTCTCGCTCTGTTCCTCTCTTGTCAAATTAAAATAAGTAAATAAGTAAAGGTAAATAATATAATTCTTAAGAAAGAAAGAAAGAAACTCGCTGGATGCACGTGCATGCGTGCCCAAGATCCCAAGAGGAGAATAGAAAAGGGATTGCGGTGTGGCCATACCCCTGGGGGGAGGTGATCTCTCACTTTCTGTCTCTCCAGTGAGTGTGCATGCCCCATACCAAAAAATCTCTCTCTCAAAAAAAAAAGGATATTGACTTGAGAAAGCCTCCATACTCCTGCTTTGACTTCCATAAGCAAACTGCAGCCTCACTTAGAAGTTTACTTCTTTGATTAGTCCCTGAGTTAGAGCCCATCACAGCAGCTAGGTTTCAGGGGATCATAGACATCCTGCCTTTTAAACTGTGTCAACACAAACTTCAAGATGTAACCAATCTAATTATTTCTCTAGCTCATCCCCCCACTTCCGTTTTTGTAGTCACTTTCCTATTCTGGATCATAAGTATCCCTGACCACGAGGCTACTGGAATCCCCTTGGCCATTCCAGGGCCCACACTTTGAATTATGTTTATCTTTGCTCAGTTAAACTCCACTAAATTACATTGTCTGAAGTTTTTCTTTTCTTTAAGACAGATTTTTGCTATAGAGTGCATGTGTGTGCCAGAGAGACAGAGACAGAAAGTGAGAAGTCACCCTCTGAGGGGATGGCTACGCCACAATCCCTTCCCCACTCTCCTCTCAGGATTCTGGGCATGCACACATATGCCCCAGCATGAGTTTTAAGCCATTGGGTCTGGGGGGCAACTACGTGGGAGTCCATTGTAACCATCTGCTGGTTCTTGAAGTTTTCCTTTAATGCGAATGATCAGTTGAAGTCCCAAACCAGAGAATAATTAGGCACCAGCTCAAGGTCAAATGGCAGAGAAGGCCATGAATGCCTAGACCAGGCAATGTGGTCGAGGTCCTGAGGCAGGGGAAAGCCAGCAGATGGAAACAGGCCAAAGGCTGCAGCATCTGCCCATGTGGCTAGATAGAACCAATCAGGGCAGGGGGACCAGCAGGTGGCATGGTGGTTAAAATGCTGGACATTCCCACAGGGCCGATTGCAGTTCGAGTCCTGGACCCGGTGGCTTAAACTTGGGCCGGGTGCGAGTGCATGCATGCCCAAGATCCCGAGAGGAGAATGGAGAAGAAGGGATTGTGGTGTGGCCATCCCTCCTGAGGGGGTGATTTCTTGCTTTCCTTCTCTTTGTCTCTCTCTGTCTTTCTGGTGAGTGCACATGCCCTATAGCAAAAACCTCTTTAAAAAAAGAAGAAAGAAAAAATTATAACTCTCTGGGACCAGCAGGTGGCATGGTGGTTAAGGCGCTGGACACTCCTACATGGCTGACACGGTTCAAGTCCCACACCTGGTGGGTTGTTTTCCCACTTTCCCTGTCTCTTTCTCCCTCTGGTTGAATTAAAATAAATGAATGCAGCCACTTTTTCTGTTCGTTCGTGCCTGCTCCTACCTCTTAAGAGTGTACTTTCACTTTTGCTTAACTACAGTTTTGGGACCAGCAGATGGCATAATGGTTATGTCGCTGGACTCCCACATGACCCACTGTGGTTCAAGTCCTGGACCCAGAGGCTTAAAACTCACGCTGGGCACATGTGCATAAATGCTCACAATCCTGAGAGGAGAATGGAGGAGAAGGGATTGGAGCATGGTCATTCCCCCTCCCCCCGGGGAGTGATTTCCTGCTTTCTATCTTTCTCTGTCTCTCTGACAAGCCCACATGCCCTATAACAAAAATCTCTCTTAAAACAAAACAAATTGTTAAACTATTTTGGCCTACAACAGCCGTTGTACTCCCATACTTTGACTCCTGTGGATAAGCCAAAATCATATATGTTGGGCTGTTTTTCTGAGCTGGTTGCTAAGTTGCAGCCAATCACAGCAGCTAGGCTTCAGTCAATCACAGGCATCCCGCCTTTTAAACCATGTTAATGCAGACAAACTTCAGAATATAACCAATGATTTCTCCACCTCACTCCCTCACTTACCTTTTTTGTACGATACTTTCCTGTTTTTCCGACTTAAATGCCAAGTTGACCACAGGGCTGGCCGGAGTTGTCTGGAAGTCCAGGGACAGCTGCTTGATTTAAATTGTGTTAAGATTTGCTCTATTAAAACTCTATTAAATTGACTGGTTTATTATTTTTTTTAAACAAAGTAAACTACCTCTTCCTTTTACTACTGGCGTGTTTTGTTCCATTTTTTTGTCTGAAACCCCGAGAACCTGGATACTGTCGATGGAAAAATAACAAACTGAAAAATTAATAATTAATGTGGTTTATTTCAAAGCCAAATATGAGTGACCTAGGCCCGGAGAAGAGGCATACATGCCTTTCTCGGGGTGATCATGTACAGAGGTTCCTTTTATTTGTTTTTGAGATTGACAGACAACATTTAGTGAAAAAATTTTCCATTGGTCTGGCCCAAAAAAGGTGGGAAATGTAGAAGGGGGGGCGCTTGTAGGTTATAGGTGGGTTCTACAATTCTTAGGTTGGTGATTGGAAGGGAAGATCTGTGTCTTGGGAAGAGATAAGCAAAAGAATATACTGTAATCGGTTGAAATATACATCTCAAAGATACTATGCCTACTGTGCTAGGAACAGGAGGTAGGAAGAATTCTGTTAATAGAGGATAAATGGTCTGTTCACATTTGTGGCATGACTTCCCCAGTCTCTTTTGCAAAGATTTTGGAAAAATAGGAAAAGTAGTCAGACTTCTGTCCACAATACCATCACAGAAGCCAGCCTGCAACAACCCTATCTCTGTTCTCCTGTCTCTGACACTCCATCTGTACAAGAAACTGCCATGTGCCACGGGGTCAGAGAGCAGCATTGGAACAACGAGCTAGGACTAGTGCAGTAGCTGCCATTTACCGATCGCGGGCATGCTGTGTGCCTGGCACTCAGGGTCTAGATGTTGCCATACTCGGTTCCCCTCTGAGCCCTAGGAGGTGATCATATCATCTCTTTTTCATAGGAGAGGAGACTGAGATTTAAACTTACTCAGAGGCCCTGGCAAGGGGTAGAGCCAGGATTGGGATTTAGCTGTGTGACTTTGGGCCGGCCTCCTTCCCTGAGGGTGTCGGCCTCTCTCATTTGTGAAATGTTGGCCTAAATTAGTTCTAGGGAAGTGCTTCTCAAGCTCTAATGGGCATCCAATCTCGAGGATCTTGTTAAAATGCAGATTCGAGTTCAGTAGTTGTGGGTGGGGCCTGAGATCAGGCCTCCTCTCACCAGCTCCCAGAGGTGGTGGTGCTGATGCTGCTGATCCTGGGACCCACCCAACTCTGATGCTGAGTTTATGGGTCTAAGAAGACTCATCCCAAAGGCCATGAAAATTCAGGAAGCAGATGATCGTGAGTAAATCCCTTAGCGTGCATCTTCCATGCCTGGGCAAGCCAGGGGGAACTTTTTCTGAAGCAGCTACCTCGGATCTCTCTACATTTCCAATCTCTTCATCTCAGCCTGGCTCCATCAGAGGGTTCAAGGACTTGACCCTTGGCTTGTTCTCTATGGAAGAGTGAAGAGGTGTCCTGCCTTCTGAGCCACCCACCAGCATCATGGCAGCCACGCTGTTGTCCTTTAGGGCTATTTAGGTATCTCCCATCTTCTGCACTCAGAAAACTTGTGTTTCTCCTCCTCCTTGAAGTTAAATGTGGCTATGTCACCTGCTCTGGCATCTAGATTGAGATCAGAAATGAACCATGTCACTTCTGATCAGAACCCTTTAAGAGCCACTGTCGAGTCAGCAGGTAGCATGGTGGGTAAGGTGGCTAGATCCCATACGACTGACTGCATGGATCAAGTCCTGAACCCAGTGACTTGAAAATCATGCTGGGCACATGTGCATGCATGCCCAAAATCCCAAGTGGAGAATGGAGGAGGAGGGGTTGCAGCATGGCAAACTGCCCCCAGGGGGTGATTTCTCATTCTCCCTCCCTTCCTCATCGCTCCCCAGTGAGAACGCACACCTTATAACAAGAACAAAAAAATAAGCCACTGTCAGGGCCAGCAGGCGGCATAGTGGTTAAGACGCTGGACTCCCACAGTGCCAACTACGGTTCAAGTCCCAGACCTGGTGACTTCAAACTCATGTTTGTTCATACCCAAAATCCCAAGAGGAGAATGGAAGAGAAGGGATTGTGGCATGGCCATTCCCCCTGCAGTCATTTCTCACTATTTCTTTCTTTACCTCTCTCTGTCTCTCCAGCAAGTTTATGTGCCCTATAGCAAAAATCTCTCTAAAAAAAGAAGCTGCAGCAGTAACAGCCACCGTCTAAGTCCTCATGTCAGTTTTCCTGTTGCAGAGAAGTTGGAAACAGGTGTCAAGATGGAACCTCTGTCAGCCTGGATCTGTGTGACCCACAGTGAGCAGACCCTCCCCTGCCAGCCTAAGCTGTGCCTATGGTACTGTGTCAAGCGCTTGGGTTTGGGGGAAGTTTGTTAGTGCAGCAGAACCTAGCCCATCCTGACTGGTGCACACACTTGTTCCTTGTGATGTGGGGCTATCACCTCAGGCAGATTGGGCCTGGCACTGGGAGACCACGTTTCTGCAAAACCAGCCTCCTGCCCTGTCCAAGAGCCAATGCTTACCTCTGGGACTCTCCAGTAGACAGGAACATCTCCTTGCTGAAGAAAGTTCAATTTTCTGAGGATGTGAACTCCACCTCCCCATTTTGCCAGTCCCTATTAAGAGAATTTTGATTCATGATTCACCATGAGAGCCTAGCCCAGGGCCTGACTCACACAACACTTGATTCACACATGGTAGGACTTATCCGAAGTTCCTTTCCATGAACAACACCATGAGCCTCCTTTGGCCCCTCCACACACCTCTCTGCCTTGAACGTCCGGTTAATTTCTCTTTGACTCCAGACTCAGGCTGGGACAGGCTCCTGCACCTGATCTCAACAGTGACACAGCATGGAGCCTCTTAGTAATACTCATGGCAATTCACAATTCCCACCAGGAGACATTCGAAAACCAGAGGCAAGCAGGGAGAAAAGGTCCGAATACTCTCACCTGGAAGGAATGCTCATCCTTTTTTTTATTTTTGAGAGTTTTTTTTTTTTTTTTTTTTTTTTTTTTTTCCCATAGGGGGTGTGCGCTCCACATCTCTTTGACTCCAGACTCAGGCTGGGACAGGCTCCTGCACCTGATCTCAACAGTGACACAGCATGGAGCCTCTTAGTAATACTCATGGCAATTCACAATTCCCACCAGGAGACATTCGAAAACCAGAGGCAAGCAGGGAGAAAAGGTCCGAATACTCTCACCTGGAAGGAATGCTCATCCTTTTTTTTATTTTTGAGAGTTTTTTTTTTTTTTTTTTTTTTTTTTTTGCCATAGGGTGTGTGCGCTCACCAGAAAGACAGAGACAGAGTGACAGAAAGCAAGAAATCACCCCCCCAGTGGGGTTGGCCACACCGCAATCCCTTCTCCTTCATTCTCCTCTCGGGATCTGGGGCACACATGAACACACGCCCGGCGTGAGTTTAAGCCACCGGGTCCAGGACTCAAACCATGGTCAACTACATGGGAGTCCAGCGACATAGCCATTACACCAACTACTGGTCCCAGGAATGCTCATCTTGTCTGCTCTCTTGTCCTGCCCCCTGTAGTTTTAGGAGGGTCCTAGAAATGTCTGCTCTTTAGAAAGAGTGAAGAGTCACAAATATGGAGAATGTCAGAGCTGGAAGAGAACTTATGATTCCTCCAACCAAACCGTCACGTTCCCAGTGAGAATGGGAGCAAATGTGTGAAAAACAAACACAGATGCTCACCAAGACCATGCCAGCTCAGTGACTGCTGTGTGGAGGGTTGGAGGCACTAGAAGCGTGGGGAAAAGAGACCATCATGTTTTGAATCTTTTGCAACAAATGTGCATTCAAGTATTACTTGCATTAAAAGCACATTATTGGGGAAGTACGGCAGGTGGCATGGTGGTTGAGGCACTGGATGCACACATAGTCCACAGCAGTTGGAGTCCTAGGCCCGTCAGTTTGATAATCACACCATGTGCATGTGTGCCCAAAATCCCAAGGAGAGAAGGGTGGGAAAAGGATTGCAGTGTGACCATCTACCCTGGGGCAGGGGGTGTTATTTCTCAGTTTTCCTCTCTGTGTCTCTGTCTCTCCTCTGGGAGTACACGTGCCCTGTGGCAAAAACCTTACAACAAAAGCACATTATTGAGGCCAGCAGGTGACGTGGAGATTAAGGCATTGGATCCCACATGGCCAGCTGAGTGGTTCAAGTCGCAGACCCAGCAGTTGACAATAACATCAAGCACGTGTGCATGCCCAAAATCCCAAGAGGAAAATGGAGGAGAAGGATTATGGCATGACCATTCCCGACAAGGGGTGATTTCTCACATCCCCCACCCACCCCGTTTCAGGCAAATGTATATGCCCTATAACAAAAACTAAAAAATAAAATAAAAATACATATATACATATATATATATGAGAAGAGCCAGCAGATAGTGTAATGGTTACCTCACTGGACTCCCACATAGTTGACTGCGGTTCTAGTCTTGAACTTGGTTTTAAAAACTCATGTCAGGTGTGAGTACATGTGTGCTTGTGTGCCCAGGATCCTGAGAGGAAAATAGAAGAGGAGGGATTGCAGCTTGGCCAGGCTCCCTGGGGGATGACCTCTCACTTTCCGTCTCTCTGTCTTTCTGGTGAGCACACACACCCTATAGCATACATACATACATACATACATACATACATACATACATACATACATACATAAAGAGAGAGAGACAGAAGAGACAGCTGAGGAACAGGAAGCACGTGATGTGTCAAAGGTCACACAGCTATTACTGGCACTAGTTTCCTGGCCATCAATCTTCCTTGCCCCCTGGCCCAGAGTCCCCGAAGAAGAGGGTCATTCCAGGGCAGCCCCTTTGCTGCTACATCATGAACACACAGATGCCACGATGGCATGGGAAAAGGGAAAACTCTGCAGGCCCCAACCTGAACTCTGAGCCCACAAGACCAATCTCCGTCAGACCCAAGCTGGGATCAAATGCCTTCAAGTCCAGACTCAGCCCCATCAGAGAGGGGCAGTGGGCGCTCTCAAGACGAAAGGGATCCCTGGTGAATCAGGAAAGTTATTGGGCTGGAAAGTGATTAAAGAGCTGAGCGTGGGAGGGGATTTCCAGCGTGAGGGCCAGGCCCTGCAGCAAGCCTGGGCGCATCGACGCAGGGTTACTGCCCACATGAGGCCTGTCGCAACAGTGCCTGTAAAACCCGGGTCATTAGAGACTTGAAACCTTGGTTGGTTTTTTCCTTCTGTTTCCCTTTAGAAAAAGGAAGAGCAGGGAAACTGAAGCCCAGGAACAAAGATCTGTACATCAAAGGGGTGTGAGCCCATCAGGAGAAGACTGAGGAAGAGGTGGTGGAGGGGCAGTGGGTCTCCCTGACCTGGCCCAGGGAGAGGAGAGTAGGGGGCCCCTGTGGATTGGAGAGTGAGTGCAGACGCCAGAGGGGAGGGACGGATGGGGAGGAGCAGGACTACGGACAGACGGACAGACCAACGGACAGACCAACGGACAGACCGACGGTCCTGCCCCTGTAGTAGAGCAGCCATCTGAGTCCAAGGATGTGGACTCGGAGGGGAGAGTCACGGTGCTCTCCTGTCCTCAGGTGTGCAGGGAGCTCTGTAGCCCCTGTAAACTAGCCAAGCTGTCTTGAAAATATGTACTAAATGTGCAAGATAGCACTGGACGGCCTTCACTTTACAAGTAAGGAAACTCCGGTCAGAGGAGAGTGACAGTCCAAGATGTTACTAAGCTGGAGCTAGAAGAGGGAGACAGCCCTGCCTCCTAGCTGGGTGTTCCATCCCCTGCACTCCTGGTGGCTTTCATGTATTTGGTTGTGCATCCCTTTCTAGCACAATCTCCTGGAGGGATCATTAAAGCAGATTGCTGGGTCCTAATCCACAAGTTCCTGACAGGGTAGGTCTAGGGTGGGGCCTAGAACTTGCATGATCTGGGACCACATTTGAGCCCCTCAGCTGTAGACCCTTGCTATCTAGAGTATGTTCTGTGGGTTAGAAGCTTCAGTGTTAGGTGGAAGCTTCTAGAAATGCAGAATCTCAGGTCCTGGTCTGACTATTGATCCGGAATCTGCAGATGATTCGGTTGCACATTGGCAGTCTGGTCTACACCACTGATCTACACCACACAGCCTCTTCCCAGACTAGGGGTCTGTGATATTTTGGTTCCTGCCTCACAGCTCCTATAACCCTTATGCTTTCCTAAGTGATTTAGCATATCTTTTGTTAAAACAGATCAGGAACTGCCCCAGAGGGGTAAAGGAAAGCCTTTAGTTATAAGGAATCCCTTTCAACAGCACCTGAGTTTATGTTAATAAGGTAATTTGGGGAAAATCCCTAGATAAACACTGGGTGAGGGGTTAGTTGCCAGGGGAACCAACCTTGTGCTCAGAGGATTAGAACTCACAGCCCCAAACCTCCAGCACCCATCACCCCGCTTCCAGGGAGAGGACAGGGACTTAAAGGTTGAGCTGATGCCCAATGGCCAGTGATTTAATCAATCACGCCTATGTAATGAGGCCTCCCTTAAAATAAGGCCTGAGTTAAGGGGGCTTCTAGAAAAGGGAACAAGAACACATCTATGTACAGGAGGGTAGCGCACCCCAACTCCTTGGGGACAGAAGCTCCCGCACTCTGTACCCTTCCAAATCTCCTCGCCCGTACATCTCTTCATCTGGTCTCCTTCCTAATAAACCAATAAATAATAATTTTCCTGAGCTGCACCAGCAGGTGGTAAGGCGGTTAAGGCACTGGATCCCACATGGCTGACTGCACAGTTGGAGTCCCAGACTCAGGGACTTGAAAGACACACTAGAGGGAACCAGCAGTTAGCGTAATGGCTATGTCGCTGGCTTCCCACATAGTCGACCGCGGTTCGCGTCCCAGACCCGGAGGCTTAAAACTCACACCGGGTGTGTGTGCGTGCCCAAAATCCCGAGATGATAATGCAGGAGAAGGGATTGCAGCGTGACCATCCCCCCTGGGGGGTGATTTCTCGGTTTCTGTCTCTCTGTCTCTCTCTCTCTGTCTGGCGAGCGCACGTGCCCTATAGCGAAAATCTCTCCAAAAAAAAAAGAAAAAAGAAAGACACACTAGACACGTGTGCGCGCATGCCCCAAATCCCAAGAGAATGGAGAAGAGTTAGTAGTGTGGCCATCCACCTTGTGGGGTGTGATTTCTCACTTTCCCTCTCTCTCTGTCTCTCTCCAGCTAGTGTACTCACACTATGGCAAAAAAAAATTGTTTAAAAAATGTAAAAAAAAATGTGCCTGAGGTGCTAGCAAGTGGTATGGTGGTTAAGGCGCTGGACTCCCACGTGACTAACCACGGTTCAAGTCCTGGACCCAGTGGCTTACTTTCTCACTCTCCCTTTCTGTCACTCTCTGGTCAAAATTGGATAATAATAAATAATAACAATAGTAGATATAGTTAAAAAAATAATAATAAAATATAAATTAAATAAATCTTTTTTAAAAAATCCCTGAGTTCTGTGACCTGCCGGAATCCTGATCCAGGAAGGCGGTGTCAGGGGTACATGGAATTAAGAGGGCAGCAGCTGGAATCTGCTGCATAGCTGATTGCTGCTTGATATGTTGGACACTCCCACCTCCAAGAGAGTCAAACTCAGGCAGCTTAGAGGGGCCATCCAGCTCTGGTTGCCAGAGGCAATAGGACAGATGCCCAGGGACCCAAGGAGGAAACCTGCCCATTTCTGTGTTTCCCTGGAGGGTGGGGAATCTTGCAAATGCCCTGAAGCCAGCAGCTGCCATTCAAAAAGTCTCTACTCTAACCCATGCTCTCAAGCAAGCCCTTGTGTTTTATATTTTATTTAAAAATATATGTGGACCAGTAGGTGGCACAGTGGTTAAGGTGTTGGACTCCCACATGGCTTGCTGTGGTCTGAGTCCCAGACCTGATGGCTTGCTTTCTCACTTTCCTTTCTCTCTCCCTGTCTCTTTTTGGTGAGTGTATGTTAGCAAATTAAATAAATTAATAGATAATAATAATAATGAAATTAAATAATCCTTTAAAAATCATTTTAAAATGTATGTATACATCATATATATATACATATGTGTGTGTGTGTATATATATATATGCGTGTGTATGGGGGGGGGCTAGACCATGGCCTCATGGTTAAGGCAGCTGATCTCATGGTTGATGACCACACAGAAGTGTTCAAGTCCTGGACATGGCGACTTGAGAAAACACACTGAGTGAGTGTGCATGCATGCCCAAAATCCCAAAAGAAGGAAGATAGAGAAGAGGAGAAGGGATTTTGGCATGACCATCCACCAAGAAAAGTGCTTTCTCACTCTGTATTTCTCTCTTTCTCACATGCATGTGCCCTCTAGAAAAAGAAAATTTTTTTGTAGAGGTTTTGTTTTTTGTTTTTTGTTTTTGTTTTTTGCTTGCTTTCTCACTTCCTCCCTCTTTCTCTCTGTTTCTCTGTGGTCAAATTAAAAATCAATAAACAAGTACAATTAATTATTTTTTTTAAAGTGTAATACATGAGTCTGGCATCCAAACCACATGGAGGTGTGCTATGAGGTCCCCACGTCCTCATGCTGTCCATCACACGTCTGGATTCCAGAGCTAACTGGGAATTTCCTCCAGAGAGAAACAGTACATTCTCTGGGCCCAGCTACACACTTACGGTCCTTGCACTAGGAAACTTGAGATGCTGCCCACGTTTTTCAGCCACCTTTCCCTGTGACGATCTATAGCTCTGTTTCATTATTTTTAACCGTTTCTCTGCATACATGTTTATGTTTTGTGCATTTGACTAGATTTTTTTTAAGGGAAACAATGCATGCATAAGATATATTTTTTAAACAGAACAAAAAGATGAACAATGAAAAAAAATAAAAGTATAGGACCAGCAGTTGGAGTAATGGCTATGTCGCTGGACTCCCATGTAGTCGACCGCAGTTTGAGTAGCGGACCCAGTGGCTTAAAACACACCAGGCACGTGTGCATGTATGCCCAAGATCCCAAGGGGAGAGTGGAGGAGAAAGGATTGTAGTGTGGCCATCCCCCGTGGGGGGGTGATTTCTCGATTTCTGTCTCTTTGTCTCTCTGTCTTTCTGGCGAGTGCACGTGCCCTATAGCAAAACCTTCTCCAAAATAAATAAATAAATAAATAAAAGTATCATTGCTCCCCAATCTTTCCCAGAAGAATCACTGTTAATGGTTCATATTTGTTTTTTCATTAATATGCTTAATTTTTAAAAAGCTATTTTAATTAACTTTATTTATTTATTTATTTATTTATTATTGTTGTTATTTTATTTGACCAGAGAGAGAGAGAGAAAGTGAAAAAGCAAGCCACCAGGTTTAGGACTGCAACTGCAGTTGGTCAGGTGGAAGTTCAGTGTCTTAACCATGTGGGAATCCAACACCTTAACCACCATGCTATCTGCTGGCCCCCCAATATTTTCTATTTTTATAACAGTTTCGGGTTTATGGACAATGTGAACAGGCTGGCTTTGTAATGTAGTCTTTTTTCTTTAGAGAGATTTTTGCCATAGGGTGCATGCCCTCACTAGAGAGACAGAGAGAAAGAAAGCAAGAAATCACCCCCCAGGGGGCATGGCTATACCACGATCCCTTTTCCTCCATTCTCCTTTTGGGATTTTGGGCACACGTGCACACATGCACACATGCCCGGTGTGAGTTTATGCTCTCAGGCCTGGGTCTCGAACCAGTTGACTACATGGGAGTCCAGAGATGTAACCATTACGCCATTATGCTGGTCCCATGGCTCTGTGATATAGTCTAAATGTACTGCTCAGGGATCCTACATGGTGACCCTTGAACACGCTGAGCACCCAAGTGCCCAAGATCCCATGGATTCCTTCCTATTGGAGGAAAGATGGTGGCATGACCAGATCCTGCGTGGATGCTGGTCTCTCTCCTTCCTTTTTCTCTCTCTCCTGCTCTTATATGCACGTGTGTGTGTTCTATCATGAGTGCGAGAAAAAAGAAAGAAGAGTTGAGCAGATAAAGCAGAGTTCCTGTCTCTCCCTTCCCTAGTTTTCCCTGTGACTGACACCCACATTAGTATGGCGCCTACACTAAATGCCCAGTGAGGATACAGCTGTTAGCTGAAGTCCATGGTTTTCTTTAAGTTTGCTCCTGATGTTATACAGTTCTGTGGGCTTTCCTAAATGCATGAGTTACGCATCCACCATACAGTGTCATACAGAATAGGCTCGCCGCCCTAAAATCTGTAACCATCTAGGTGTTTTCATTATTATTTTAAATAACATACTTAGACCTCTTTTATTAGTTCATTAACTCTAGATAACATTTATGGAGTCATAATGAAAGGAGAAACTATTGCATTACTCCTTTCCACCTCCCAGCTTTTCCCAGGTTCAGTGCCATTCCACCCAATTATTCAATTATTTATTGAGGTCCTACTGTGTACTGGGCAACAGTCTCAGTGCTGGAGTTATGGGGATGAAGAAAACAGAAAATGCCCTGCCAGCACAGAGCCTGCACCCTAGAAGAGGAGACAGCATATAAGAAAAACACAGAGTTGCGGATGGTAACACGTGCTATGGAGGAGACTCGAGCAGGGAAGGGATAAGATGTGAGGGGGTGTGTGTGTGTGTGTGTGTGTGTGTGTTTCCAGGGACGGGGTTGTGATTTTAAGCATGGTGTTGTGGGGAGACCTCACTAAGAAGGTAACATCTAAAGAAATACCTGAACAGGTGATGAAATGAACCGGGGAGAGCAGTCCAGACATGAGAACAGAAAGTGCCAGAAGCCAGGGGAAGCACGTGTGCCATGTCGCGGCGGTGGTGAGGCGTGTGGCTGGCACCAGGGTGGGAGGAAAAGTGTAGGCGGTGAGGTCAGAAAGCCAAGGCAGGTCCTGGAAGGCCCAGAAGCATCACTGACACTGCTGTGCTCAGAGATGGAAGGTTCTAGTGGATTGTGAGCAAAGCAGGTTGTCATTCACTCCAGGTCTACTTGTTGTACGGCGTGAACAGACATTTTCATTTTGTTAGTAAAATGATCTTCAATGCGTTTTGCTTAGATCGGGTCTAACGATTTATAACCACTTACCAGAATTCATAAGATTAAGCAAATATGGTAGGAAACAGAAGCTCTGTCACTTTTTGCATCTCTCTGGGGCCCATCTCTGCCTGCATCCGCCCTTATTCCCATTTCCTTCCGGCCTTGTCCTGAGGAGCCACCCAGTGTGGATCCTCCTCCCCACACAGAGGTGGGAGGGCGGGCAGACCCAGCCAGCCATTGCAGCGCTCTATTCTCCGGGGCCATTTTGTAGCCTTAGCCCCATCCAGCTGGACTCGGACAGACTGACAGTGCAGATCAGCTTGCCCTTGGAGGTGAGCAGCGGGGAGCCAACTCTGGGCTGCTTCCAGGGGACATTCTGTCCATTGGTCCCATGTGAAGTCAACAAGTCAAGAAGAATTGAATAAATTATCCCCAGGGCCAGCACTGGCCCCGCCTAGTAACCCAAGAAGGCTAAGTTGGAGCTCCTGTTTTCAGGGGAGCTGTGGGGACACGCTGGCAGGAAGGGGGTACCAGCACTGGCCCCCCTGCACCCTGCTCCCCTGGCTTGTGACTGTTTCTTGAGTTTCTGATGGCCCAGATCATCTGTCCCAGGCCTGAGCCTCTGCCAGATAGGGCTACGAAGGGGGTTCCAGCACTGGCCCCCTGGCCCCCCTGCACCCTGCTCCCCTGGCTTGTGACTGTTTCTTGAGTTTCTGATGGCCCAGATCATCTGTCCCAGGCCTGAGCCTCTGCCAGATAGGGCTACCAGGCAACATGCCAATGCCGGGGAGAGATTTAGAATGAGTCATCTCCCCTGGACTCAGAAGGCTACGAGGCTGGAGGACAGGACTCCGGGGTTCCAAGGCCCTATCGGGCCACTAGGAAGGCGTGGTGGTGAGAAGACCTGCCCGACAGTACAGTACACCTGCTG